AGTCATTTTGAAATTTTGTTCATATTTTACCCAATACATGCCCTACCAAGGCCTGTTAATCAAATCAAACAGTATATACATTCTTCTAATATATTTGTTTTTCTTGTTTTCTTAATACCTTTCTTTCAGTTTCTTAGTTCCTGTATGAGTATAATAACTTCTTTAGAACGCTTTATCAATGATGTTATTATAAGTACAAACATTGTTTTTAAAATTTTTGGGTATAAAAAATAGTTCTCTATTGATCACATATTAATTAAGGTTCATTCATCAATCCGTAAGTTACCTTTATCTGTAATGATTATTTTTGTTTCAATTCTTCATGCTATTTGGTCAGATCAGAGTGAAAATCATTGAACTGCCATATCATAAGAACTGTATTTCTAAATAAAAACGTTTACTATATAATAAATACATTTTTATTAACTATAAACAAAAATTCATTCAACTGTTGAATTCATAATAAATAATCTTAGTATTCCGAAAATTCAAGGGAGGTCCAGTTCAATCTACACTTTAATCAACGTGCATTATTGGGTTGAACTGGACCTCCCTCAAACTTAAACTTCGAAATTAAACAATTTTCGGAATACTAAGTTTATTTATTATATCTGCTATTGTGCGGCTATATAATGTGAAGAACTGAATAGTGGTCAGTAACACTTTTTCTTCACTTCATCTATCCAGTTTATAGTGTTTTCTCATAGTGACTACAGAGCACGTTCACACCAACAGTATGTTGAATTCATAACTATGGTAAATATTTTTTACTGCCTTTTGATGCATTAATGCATTTGTGGTGATATGTTTTTAGCACAATAGTCGCAGTTGAAAGAACTGCTAATTTCATCCTTTCATAATCTTTATTCAGATATATTCATATTATTTTAATTTCTAAATTTATGTGTTCTGCATACATTTAGCATATTTATAGTAAACTAAATGTACAGAAGTCATAAATTTACGCTAATAGTCCACCTTAAGTAATGGTTACATACTTCAACGATTACTCTATAGATCTTAAACTTGTTTGGCTATCTTTCTGTTCGGCCCACTGGAGTAAAGTTATGCTCATTTCAAGGGATGGTACAGACTTGGACAAGTTTGTATCAATTTAGAATTTATCTTTCTTTAATATGTTCATTTGGAATTATTGTTGACGTAAATCGTCTAAGGATTATGGGATACTACACTACGTCTAACATAAAAGTGGAGTATCTCCACGATTCCAGTTTCTCTTTTGATCATTGTTTTTGTCTTGTGAAAGTCCCAGCAGCCAGTTAAATATACTGAATTAAAAACCGGAAAGACTTGCAATTTCACTGTTAATGTAGATACCGTTCATTTTTCACTAAATCTTATGTCATTTTTCCCTTTACTATCTGTGTTATTATTCTCAGCATAAAATTTTCAGAACCTACGTTTTGCGGATACTTGTAACGTGTTAACGGATGTCATTACGTCTTAATAATACACATCCTCGTTCCCATACTTTTAGCTGAACCTAAAATAATTCTATGTAGGTCATTGCGATTCATCTTTACTTTACAAAAATATTTCTGAAATGATTACTGTATTCACAACTCTTTGTAAATTCATAAAGATTTACTCTTGCCTATTCATAATAGATTGTTTGTTTTTTTTTTAATTTCGCGCAAAGCTACACGAGGGCTATCTGCGCTAGCCGTCCCTAATTCAGCAGTGT